CTCATTTGCCATGTGCCTGTGGGGCGGCCCACGGTACCCAGGTGACAAAGAACACAGATCGTAAGAGATAATTTCGAACTTGTGGAATTCCGCTGTTTACATTGTACGATTCGGGACTTGGATCATTCGGATGGAAAAGGTTTTTCGTCGGTGTTGCCACCACTTGGTTGGTTGGTTGTACGCACTTACACTGAGACACCTCTCCGGTCCCACTCCTTAGGGTAGTTATCGTTTTGAAGAATAATTTGTTTGTGTCTAACGTACAGTAATGGAATAAACCTCTTTTGTAGAAAATAGTCAACTACAAAATTATATCCTAATATACATCTATAAGGAAAAAAATGTATGTTCAGAATAGGAGCTTAGACATTTTCTTTAATAAGTCTCCAGATAATAAATTGAAATAATGTACTCTTCAGAACAACTCTTCTGGGAACATTCGGATTAGTTCTCGAACACGGAATTCTGGAGTGGATAGTGGTCGTATTCCGAAAGAACATCCGAATAGAAGAGCAGCAATTACACATTTTGTGTATTTTTTATTGTTTACTTTGAGTTCTTTATAGATGATTTTTCTCGTAATGCGTTCGAGAATGAAAAACGAGGTACCTGTATGTTTAAATTTTCCTTTTTATTTAGAACAAGCATAGTAGACATTTTCAACATATGAAAATGATTTTAAAGTACTTTAAACCTCGCCGGCGCCGACAACAATTTCAGATAGTAGTATTATGTATTATAATCACACACACACACACACACACACACACACACACACACATATCATGTATATATAATTATATATATAATGTATATTAAAATGAATAGAATATAGTGATGGGTTGATATCTAAATTTCTCGATACTCGATACAATACTACTTTAAAAACTCAATGGTACAATCAGAATTTGAGGGATATATTTTGATCTTCATACATACACGCATTTATTATTTTAATATTTACAAATTATTGAGATGAACATAAGTTTTTAAATATTCTTATTATGGAAAAATAATATTATAACACTTTCTGGGTTTATTCTATTTTTTTTTTTGTCACGTATCAATCCAGCTGTACTGAAAAGTCCCTCCGAAAACACTGAAGCTGGTGGAATGCACAGATATTGAACGTCACTTTTTTATGAATTGGAGAGTGTCACGTTTTTCCATAAGATAGTACTAAATTTCCATCAGGAGGAAGCAAGTGTTCCCTTTGATTCTCATTTAATTTCATCATCTTGTGCTGGGGTTTCCTGCACACAGCATGATGTTTCGTAGACACTCTTCAGAATATTAATTCCTATAAAGAGAACACAATCCGAACAGACTGACACTGAATGAGAAGAAGATAATTTCTGTAAACAGATTCTGTAAAATCAGAGGAGATGGGAATGGCATAAAAAATTGAAAGTATCGAGTCATTTTCCGAAAGTATCGATCGCTATCAATATTACCAGAGTTTCGAATGTATCGAGATATCGACTGCATCAAGAACCCATCGTTATAGAATATTAACGTATGTCAAATTATTTCAAACAGCATGAATAATCTTTAAAGAAAATCATGATTTCATATAATATATTACGCTAGGATCGTGCTACACCTGGATTTGTTAATTAGTGGTCGTTTCTCACAAATGGCCTACTCAAGTGCGGAAACATACGTATTTTCAGCCAATAACGATGTCTGTAACACCCGTGGTAATCATTTTCATCAAGTGTCAGTATCAAACAGCTCACTACAAAACATTCACATATATGTACATTATTTCACAAATTACCAGGTGACATTAAACGATTGATAGTTACACAAGTTTGTGAGGGAATTTTTTTTTCTGCAGACAATTAGAGACGCCATATACTAAGCATCAAAAAGGAAAATAATGTTAATTTTAACAATCATATTTAAAAATGGTATCCAACTAGATACCATTTGATCTGTATAGTTTTAAAAGACTAAATGTTCCTGTAACAAATTATGTACCTCAGCTTGTTGGTCAGTCACAAAGGCGATGATCAATGCATGTTAATAGCCGAATTCTATAGCTGATTGTCCTTTGCAAACAGTTTTTATTATACGGGACAGAATGTTCTCTTATCAGTTCTTATCAAAAAACTTATTACAAGACATCATTGTTTTCACAATACAATTTAATAAGTACTATATGAAATGGAGAAATCCCAGAAGTCAAGAAAGGGCGTAGACTCCACATCCCCCCATTGCACGTCACACATAGTTTTAACTGTTTTTGACGTTAAATGAATAAGTGTTATGTTTTGTGACTGCAATGGGTAATAAATATTTCGGAAGTTTTGTCATAAATCAAAGCTCGTATTTCTCGCAATTCACTGAATCGATTAGCATTCCGGCTATTTTTTGTGGTTAATCAGCTATAAATGGGAAGGAGGCTTCAAATTGAGGTTTTCTAAATATTCTTTGAGGTAATGATTTAATAAAGTCATATTGTGTATGTTTTCGTCATTACAATGATATTTTTTTGTTCTAAAATAAGCATTTCGATCTCCCAAGTCGTCGAGTTTGCCATGTCTCGAATCGTCAATCGTGGAGCCAAAGCCTATTCTGATGGCAACGGATAGTATTGACACAATCTTCAGGAGTAAAGTTTGGATAGCCGTACAGAAAAATATAGATTACAGTCAAAAATAAGAGAATCGCCTGATGAAGATGAAAATAAGATGAATCGCCTGAATGGGCGAACTAATTAATGGTGACAAGATCGACGATTTACATAATTTACAAGTAATTAACGCAAAAGTGGACAGAATTGTTTTATAATTTTCGCGATATTTCTAAAATAACTTGCCAGTACAAGAAAGGATATAGAGGACATCTCTTTGCATGGGGGTCAACAAGACGTGATTCGGCGTGGAAGGAGAGAACTTTCGATTTTGATGCCTGTTGAAGCAACAGCTTCAACGCACGTGTCGTGCAAATTGCCTACCCTTCAGGGGACGCTATTGCCTTCATCAAGTTAATCCGTCCCGCGGGAATTGGGTTCATGACATTGTCAGCGATGCGACGAAAGCTCGCGGAAACCTATCAGAAGTGAAGGGTTGGGAACCTAACCTCCAAGCACAATTTTAGTCCATATCTCCTTCTGCCAATTTTAAAGCTCTTGGGCCATGACCGAAGTTGTTAATGCTAACGCACTCTCACACTTACTTCCTGTGGCTGGTTATATCTGAATTGCCTCATAACAATTATGTTAAGATTCCAAAACATGCTTTCTTTCCTCTCCAAAGGTGCGAAGTATTCTTGCCACATAATGAGTACTTACTACCTGTGATAAAAGAAAGTAGCTCTGCTTGGTGATAATTGCCAAGTACCTGTGGGTTAACAGAGTATATTTTGGTTTTACTCTGGGTGTGATAAATCTCTGCCGTGTACTATATATGTATAAGTATATTAAAGGTGATATGAAAATAATGGAGCTCTTCTAAAAGTTTTTTTTCATAAACATTCCAAGCCAGCTCACATCTAGAGAGCTATGCTCTTATGGGCAAGGTAGATTTCGGCTCTCTCCTAATTAAGTGTTGAGTGAAGTCTACACAAAATACATTATTGATCAATTGATCAGAAGTAATGAGAGTTTTCTAATTAAAAAAAATTCAATAGTGTAATGTATAAAATGAAAGTAAATTTCTATTTCTTCACAATAATTATTGTTTTGTTCTGTCTCTTAGAAATTATGGCTTCCATGGCCTGGATCTATTATTTTGTTAAAAAAGAACATTTCAAGGTCCTAACCATAACCATATAGCTGAAAATGAGCTGTGCATTACTTACAAAGATGACAAGTTCTTTTACAGATGTAAAAATTATTATTTTTTAAAATGTTATTTTTGGGATGTATAATGTTATAATAACATATGATATATGATTACTTTATATTTCCTTCATTGTGATGTAATATAGAATTAACATGTACAAATAAAGGTTTTTATATTTGTCCATTGTAAAAAAAAACTTGGAAATATTATATTCTCTTGGGGCAATTTTCTTTTGTTCATGTCCTCCAAAAATTCACTTAGTGTAATATTTCCAACTTGTGAACCCTTTCAAACATTGAAGTCGTAGGCTTCCGCGACCAGAGTCATGTGGGTGATCTGGGCTGTCCGGGTGACGCCGCGTCGAAGGCTGAGTTGCCGACGTTTCGACCATCCTGTCGTGGTCTTCCTCAGGGCTGGTCATACCAGATCACCCTTTCAAACATTCCACATTTTGTAAATCATTGCTGTAAAAGTGAAAATAGCTAACTGTGAACACTCAGCACCTGCAGCATGATACACCTGGTATTGTGAATGAGTAAACATGTTGCAAAACATTGAGATTATATTACACAAAAAATCAATAGTCTCTTTAATTTTATTATAGAATATTATTTATTTCTTTATTCTTTAAGTTTAGATTTACATAGATTTTGGGATACTGCTTATATCTTGACTCTCCAATGATAAGGGTATGGGTCTCGAAAAGAGCTAAATCTCCAGAAATTAAATATGTTTTAAAAGATCTCATTTTGAAGAATACTGCTAAAGAAACATTACTCAGGGCCTCTCTTGTCTCCCATTGTTCCTTGCCATTTCCCTACAAGTTCCTTCAAAATTTCTGTCCTCATAAAACTTGTGTATCATTTTTGAGTTTCGCACAATTTTAATGTGTATAGAAGTAGAAATGTGTATAATAGTGTTTTCTATGTCGTAATGTGAAAACTTTGTTGGATCAGGAATGAGATGTAATTCCCTCTTTGCCACATATACAGGGTTTTATGTTGATGGTTTCATATAAATTGTAAAATAAATAGTGTAACATGAATATATTATATTGAGAAGAGATTTCATTAATTATCAACCACTCTGAGCATTATTTTCCATATCAATATTTTTTTATATTTTTTATTATTATTATTATTATTATTATTATTATTATTATTATTATTATTATTTATTTATTTATTTATTTATTTATTTATTTTCCAGAGAGAACCTGTGAAGTTTGATGTACATTTAAGGGGAGCTCCAGAGGAAGTGGTGGAATTGGTACAGAATATTAAAGATGTAAGTTTATAAACCCTATTTTTCATAATATCTTTCACAAGTACAAATACTTAATTTTTTTAATAATAAATAAATAATATTTTAGTTATAATATTTTTTAATACATAGTTCCAACCCATTTCCTTAATATGCCTATCTCAATTAGGTTTTCCATTTGGTTTCTCTTCATCCATTACGCAAATGCTAGTATAGCCCCTTGCTTTATTGCTAGATGTAAATATAGTTTCACCATCTACTTATGGTTGGGCTCTCACTGTGCAAGAAGCTGGAAACATTGGGGTTAGTTATTTCATCACAAATTCTTTATAATTCAAATCTGTAGCTTATTTGCCAATACTACACCTGTTAATACCAAATTTGTATTACACAGGCCATACTTGTTAATTCTCATTATTACCATACATGGAGAAGAGTGGGAAGGCATTCTGGAATTCAAGAAAATGCATACATAGTTCTCACACCGTTTTTACTTTTCTTTGTTGTATATATTTTTACGTCGTTTTCCATTTACTTCCCATTTCTGACCTTTTTCATCTCCTTTTTAGGTTGTTTCATTTCATTCATCATTCTCCTCTAATTTCAAAGATGTCTTGATATTTATATAATTATACTTTTTATCTCTTAATTGACTCTTTCATTCTTACAAAGTGTCATTTTCAATTGCATTTTTATGGCACTAAAATTAATAACAACTTCTATTTTCCAGGTGGCTGAACAATTTCTGTACCATTGGAAGACTTTCCCAATTGTTCTTCCCCCACCACTAGCAACCTCTTCGCATCCTGCTTTGAACAATAACACTGCTTCTGGAAATGGGACAGAGTCCAATGCTGCAGGAGGGGCCATTGGCGATGCCAATGGATCCTCTCTGTCCCTCCCTAGGCGATCTAACAAGCATTTAAACATGAGAGATCTATTCATAGCACCTTCATTTGATGAACTTGATGCAGTTGCTGTTGATATTAAAGGTGAACCTCGCCGTTTGAATGGGAAGCAGTTGGAAGCTGTTCGAGAGAGAGGGTAGGCAACAGTTATTAATTGGCATGTTCACGGTTTGGGTATTTTAAAATTCCATATCCAAAATATATGTAGGTTGTGTTAAAGCTTCATTTACTATATTTCCTTCTTTATTTTATGCTAATTTTTTATGAAGAATAATTGGAGAGTTATGAGAGTATAACATTACAGAAAGGAAATATATTATTTAAATGAATTTAATTCTTTAAATTTGTTTGAAGGTAACTGAAAAAAAATTCATGTGTGATCCTTAGTCAATTTTGTGAAAGTAAAGTTGTAGGAAATAGTAAAGAAAATGTTCTCCATAACTTCTTTTTTCTATTTTTTGTGATGTCAAGGTGTTTTGACGATCTGACATCTGACATCTTTACTGTAAAGGAATGAAGCATTTTTTTTCTAGGTGTTCCATTTGGAGTCTGTGGTTTGATAAGAATGATAATTTGAAAAATTAGAGTTTAAGGAGACAAAAAAACACTTGTGCATGTAAATAATTCTCTCCATTACTCTGATATTAGTATATTCTATTCATGCTTTTCTGTTCCTGCTTCAATGCAAAATTAAGGTTTTAAAAGTTTTGCAAAAGTCTTTCTCAAGTACATTTTTCAGGAGTACATTTATTACTTTGAAAATTAAAATTAATATTTTTATTTATTCTTTTATTTAGTATATTATTACCCACTGTATTTTTTAAAATGGTACTGATACTCAAAGAGCAGGCATGATCAATCCAATCATCTCTGCATCCATTGCATTGAGAATTTTCGTCATCCGATGGAATTAAAGGCAAAAAGATTGCATTGATGTGCAACACAAATGGCAACAAAAATGGAAAAATTATTGTTTTTTAAATTACATGAGGAGAACATTTTTTGAAGATGAGACTAATATTAATTGCATTTCAATTTTTACTATTTCAATTTCACAACTTTCACTTAGTGTTTTTTATAACACTTGAATAATTATTGAATTTCAAATTATATTGCTTCTTGCCACTGCTTTCTTCCTTGATATTTGCTGTGTCCAACTCACTGTGTGTTTTTTGCATTATTGCAAATTTTTTATGTTTGTTGGATAGTTAGGAATTAGAAATGTGATAAAAAAGTTAAAAAAATTAATTGAACCTTAAGGATCTAAAAATTTAGTCCTGTAATTTGCTTAATGAAAGTGCTTCAACCCCGTGTAGACTTGTATTTGCAGCTTGACTTGATTTTCTAATCCCATTCATGTGATTCAATAGGTGATTGCTTTTCTATTTTATTTAGAAATTTGAATCATAGTCTTTATTAATAAAATGGATATAACATGTTGTTTTATTTTTGCTTTGCATCTTCATCATGCTGAATTATTATCCATTTCATTATGATAATAGTATGTACTAGCTGCAGAGTGTGATTAGTGTGATTTTAGTTAATATAATTAGATTTCCAGAATTTGTATTCTACAACTGCACGGTATTTTCACTTCCCCTCTGTGTTTTTCAAATTTCTCCAAGTATGCAACATATTTGTTTAAAATATTTTCCTTTCAGAATATTTAATCAGAATTATTTAGCTTGACAAATTGCAGGACATAATTTTGAAAAGTTTTTAGAGCATTTTAATTAATTTTTGAGGTTTGATGTTGCATTACTTCCATAATTAGCACTTTTGTTGCTATTTTATTATTAACATTTTATATTTCAAAAACTTTAGCAAACCTTGACTTCTTGATAACAAATTTAAGGTTTTTTACTTCCCATTTTATGCAGAAAGTAGAGGACATACATCATAATGTGAGATTAAAACTAGTAAAATGAGAAAATGGCACAGACTTTCTTGTACTAGTTATTTTCTTTATCTCTTTGATTTGGGCTAGCTTTTTGGTTTTGCCCCTACCCTTTTCACAGATGTCATTCATTGCTGCCTCATTTTCCAATTTGTTTGGTTGCCTAATATTAGAATTGAAATGTAAGTTCAAGAATATTATAGAAGAGTACAACTTGGTCCTGTATGCAGATTATCATGAAAATATTTTGAGCCATTTTTTGAGAAAATGTTGTTTCAATGTTTCTGAAAATTTGCAATTTTGAGCTTATTTTCACAGAAAACTTTTGCGTTTTCAAGAAATTTCAATGAAAAACATTAGAAGAACTTGAACTCCTAAATGCAATAATGTAGTAAATAAAAAAAAAAAAAACAAAAAACAACAACAAAAAAACAACAACAACAAAATTAAACAACACACACACATATAATATAAATATTAATGCCTTGAAAAATATTTTTAAAAAAGGACATTTGTGTAATTTTTGAAAATTAAAATAATGCATTGAAATGGCTTTATGCAATACCTACTAATCAGTGCATTTACATCTATCTGTTCAGAAAAAAAAGTTAAATATCTTTGTGAGAAAATTTCTTTTTAGCATTTCTAAAAATGAACAATATTAACCTTTTTTCACAGAAAATGTTTTGAGTTTTCAAGGAATTTCAGCAGAAATCATTTAAGAGCTCTTATACTCATAAATGCATTAAAAAAACCTGTAAGGTAAATTAAGAACATGAGAGATGTATTACATTGTTATAATTTTTGAAAAATCAAAAGAATACTCAAAGTGGAGCTGTTTTTGCTAAAAGCCTTGTTTTTAATACTTTTTCATATTACCCACATTTAGCTCCCATTATCATGAAAAACTCAAATATTAAAAAAATAAATTACGTGACATTTATTAAAGAACTTATTGTGACGAACAAATATTATTTAATGAAAAAATCTTCATCTCCAATATTGTAGTTATAGGAATTCAATCTTAAGCAATTTTTGAAAATCCTAGTGTGACTGTGAAAATTGCATCTATGCTCTTTTTAGAAGTTTCACTCTATTCTTAAGAGAAATTTAAAGCAAACAATCTGGAGCTGTGTTTCAGAAAATTTGGAAAATGTTCCTCATGCTTCATGTAAAGTACCTGGCAAATTCAAAGAATTGTTGCAAATTCATAGAGCTTGGAGCCAGTTCAGAAAGATGAGGGAATATTCATTTTGGCAAAATTCCTAAAAATAGTTAAAGTCCTAGTGTTGCTTACATATGGTAGACAGAAAAGCAGATGTTTTGGAAAAAACACTTTTTCTGTATCAGGGGACCCCCAAAACTTGTATTTCCATTGAAATCTCAAAATCAGTTTTTTGTGACATTACATAACTTTCTCTTCATAGGTATAATACTCTATATATGTATGTAGTAGGTGAAAAGTAAAATATTGCTGGAGGGTTACAATATGTAATTTGTTTTAGTCAAGTATGTTTGTATAGGCATTTGACGTGGAGAAAAAATTGAAATTGGTGTGTAGTGCAGTTCATTTTATTAAAGCGTGCTCAGGAAATTGAAATAGTCCTGTGGTATGAAATTTAATTTTCTTACAATATAACACAAGTGTTTATACATTAATTTACTTTTCCCTCTCTAAAATGCTTGTAGCGTAATGTTGTAGATAATTTATAATTGGTAGGCATGATATTTCATTGTTAATTACGGAAAGAAATATTTCCCAAAAAAGTGGATTTGATATCTTCAGTAGTTTTAGGATAATTCCATGTTTTTAAAAAAAATTTCCTACATTGTTAAAGGATTTGCTTGAAAAGAAGGGTTAATTTCACACTAATTAATATGAAATTTAACATCTTAATATCATTTTGAAGTCCCTTGAATTATCTTGTCACCTCAAAATGCTCTAATTTTTAAGTGTACCAAATCCTTCCTTTTCTTTATCTGTAATTTTCATATCTTGTGTGTTCTCATGATTCTTCTTTTCCCTTCTTCCTCAATGTGCTAAAGCTTACACAAGGATAAATATGGAAAACAGAAGAAATTGAATTCTACACAGTTGGAAAGTATTCGACTGTGGGGGTAGGTTTCATACTTGATTCTGAATGTGTTTTTGAACTATTTAAAATGTACAAAGACTGTTTAAATTAATTTTATTTTATATCTGGGACATGTGTTATTTTCTTGCATTAATAACATTTTTTTTCATGTTATTAAGCATGTTTCTAATTATTCTTGCTGACTCAAAAAGTTGTGTATATTTTAATTTATTAGCTGCCAGATAATGTTTTTAAGTGATTGAGTGTTTGAAAATGTATATTTTAACCTAGAAATGTAACAGCTTCAATAAAATAAAACATAATTAATATTCAATTTCAGTATTGTAAATCTTCATTAAATTTTAAATAGAGTAAGGCTCTGGAAATAAAAAATCACTTGCTGTGACCTTACTTTCTCAATGCAGTTAACTTTACAAAATTTAAATGCTGGATTAAGGCAAGACCTCTGTCTATTTAAGTCATTTAAGTATATTTAAATAGGGCAGATTGAATCACTGTAATTTATATTAGAACTATTGGAAATTCAAAGGTTTCAAATGCTCTTTCATCTTCAAATTGTAGCATGGCATTCATTAGATGACATTGATGTTTCATATCTCTCTTTCTTCTTTACGATAGGGTGGAATGGTCTTTGTTCTAAGATGCTTCAGCAAAGATCCATCAATATTGTAATATTGAAAATAATCTAATGGTTGTCCATAGGATTCAGATGAGGTTAAATATTGAATGAAAAAACTGCATGTGTTTGCAGTGGCAACCACTCTACGTTAACTTTCAGGGTTCGAATCACCGTGTATGTTGCATGTTTTTTTGGATGAATGTTTTCACCTTATGATTCTGGTAGTATTCATTTATTGCTTTTCTGAGTATAGTATTATCATATTATTGTCTAAAACATTCATGTTCAAATAAAAGAAATTTAATAATTTTCAAGTTAAATCAAGTATGAGACAGTGTTCTTTTTCTTTGTAACCAACATTCTGACAGGGATGTGCCTCAAGAATAAAAAGGGAATGAAATTTTCCCTTAACAAATATAAAAACATATTTCACTCTGATATAATGATCTTACTAATGTGGTTATTTTTCAGCCTGTACAATACTCTGTTCATAAGCTATTTTCAGAACATAAAAGGAGGTAATTACAGAAAATGTTTGCAAATAAATTCTGATTACGATAAGTCATGCAAAGTTCTTTAGTGAACTATTTCTCAAGAATATAATTTAGTGATTTCAACATATTTAGTTAAAAAGTCTTTACAGTTTCAAAATGTTACAGTTCTAAAAGATTAATCTTCTCTCAACACGTATTAACTTTTCACAAATAATATTAACTACACATTTCTTCCGGCATTTTTTATTATTTAAAGGATTATTTTTTTTTGGAAAAGATTCTCTACCATGAACTTTTAATATCTTCTTCTTCTACTTCTTCTTCTTCTTCTTCTTCTTCTTCTTCCACTTCTCCTACTTTTTCTTCTTCTACTTCTCCTACTTTTTCTTCTTCTTCTTTTCCTACTTTTTCTTCTTCTTCTACTTCTCCTACTTTTTCTTCTTCTACTTCTTCTTCTTCTTCTTCTTCTTCTTCTTCTTCTACTACTACTACTTCTTCTTCCTCTTCTTCTACTTCTTCCACTTCTTCTACTTCTTCCACTTCTTCTTCTACTTCTTCTTCTTCTACTTCTGCTTCTTCTTTTTCTACTCCTTCTTCTACTTCTTCTTCTACTTCTACTCCTTCTTCTACTTCTACTCCTTCTTCTTCTTCTTCTTCTTCTTCTTCTTCTTCTTCTTCTTTTACTTCTACTTCTTCTTCTTTTACTTCTTCTACTTCTACTTCATCTTCATCTACTCCTTCTACTTCTTCTACTCCTTCTTCTTCATCTTCTACTTCTACTTCTTCATCTTCTACTTCTACTTCTTCATCTTCTACTTCTACTTCTTCATCTTCTACTTCTACTACTTCTTCTACTTCTACCACTTCTTCTACTTCTACTACTTCTTTTTCTTCTTCTTCTTCTTCTTCTTCTTCTTCTTCTTCTTCTTCTTCTTCTTCTACTACTTCTTCTTCTACTTCTTCTTCTTCATCTTCATATACTCCTCCTACTTCTTCTACTCCTTCTACTTCTTCTACTTCTTCTACTTCTTTTTTTTATGTTATTATGTGCAAAAATTAGAAGGAAAATTTCTTTCTACTAAAAATTGTTGAAAATCTGAAATTGATCTTAGCTTTCCCAAAAGAACATTGATATCCTCCAAATTTACTATAAAATAGTCTTCTTTTTCACAAGAAATCTATGTTTGTAAAATACCCACCACAAACTTTCATACATCTGTTTGTTTACTGCTGGCATATTATAAAATAATTGTCATAGGTTTGTGCAAATAACTTTACAAAACAATATGTCCTAAAGAAAATTATGTTATGCAACACTATGCATCCTCATGATTCAAATCATTCTCCCTTCTCCCAAAAACTGTCTTGCACATTTATCTTTTGAAATCAAAAATTACTTTATTGGTTATCATTACATCAAATTAATTTTTTGGTTATCAATACAAGTTATAGAGCTCTATTTTAGGTGTAAATAACTGATAACATTATCACAAAGTTAAATTTTTGCATACACTGTGCTTCACTTTTTTCATTTCTCGTGTTCTTCATGGTAATTTTCAGTGTTTCGCTTGTAAATATTTTAAATTGTCTGGATTTTTTTGTAATTGTGGAGAATATCGGCAACATATTCATAGTCATCACGGAAATGGAAACAAATCTACCTTAAATAAGACCTTTCTTTTCCCAATATTTTTTATTTTTTTGTGACAATGAATAATTGTTACATGCTGAGTGGCGTTCCTTAATGTGCTACAATGATTTCAAATTATCCAAATTCTTAAAAAACATTAGGAAATCAATGTAGTTAAGAAAATTTATCCTTTTTTTTTATTTACAAAAATCAATGCCATTAGAATAAATATAAACATTGAAAGTGTTTTTATACTTTAGTTACATGTGATCAAAATGCAATTAAATGAAATACAGATGTTAGAAGACTCTATTAATTCCAATTCCACATTCATTTCATGCAAGGATTCACATGTGTTTCATTTCATGCAAGGATTCACAAGTGTTTAAATTTTTGGTAAAAATCTTGGGAATTGAATTGACATCATTCTAGGAATTTTGATAATTACTTTGCCTTTAATGTATTTAATGTAAAATGTTGTAATGTTGCTTGGATGTTGATATTTTTCTTAATTAGTTGTACATGTAAATGTGATTTTTCTTCACAATACATACGTTATACAGAATTTTATATAGTTTTTTTAGTTTAGGCTAGTTCCAAGGAAGTTATAGTTGATTATATTATTATAATAAATAATGACTTAAATAATAACTTCATAAGGTTTTTAGAATGTACCTGGTAGTTGCTCAAACTCATTTTATAGTGACATTTTTTGCAAACTATATTGTGTCTCAGAAGATTTTTAATAACATGTTGGATTTTTCAGCTGATTCTGAATGCTTATTTGTCTTTAAATATTTTAATTTAATTTCACTTTCAACTGTAGAAATAATAGCATATTTGAGCTTCCTCTGTAGACTGATGCAATACACTTATACAATTGTTGAGCACTAGTTTTGCTTGCACTAATTAATTTCCCCATCACATTTGTGCTTCTATTAATATTTAATTTTAGACTGAATAATTTGGTGTTTTGGTTTAGGTTGTAGAAGCACATGTCTAAGCATATGTAAACTTTCTAATATGTACACCTTGGTATTTTTCATCAAAAATAGTGTCAGATAGGATTAAGCTGTAATTGAAATACAAAAATATATAATAAGGTTCTAATTCTAGAGTTGAAACAGGTAGGAATTTGGTCTTGTAAGTTTGGATTGCTTGTTCTAAAAATTTGTCCCTCATTGCCTTGATTTTCAGAAAAGTAATTAAGTGATACACTCTTAGTGACATTAAAAAAATGTCTAAAACTTTACTAAGCATAACTGTAAAAATTATAAATCCTCATAATTTTAAGATGTAGAGGTACCTCAAAGTAGCATATTTAGGACTAAGATCAAAGAAGTACTGGTGAATGTATTTTTTTCTTTTGAAAATTCAGAGGGTTCACATTCCTGAGTATTCTTTCAAAAACTCAGCTCTAGTCTCTCCTAATTTTTTGTAATTTGGTGTTAAATTTCAAACATATGAGAGAAATTTAAATAGAATGTGGCAAAAATTTTGCAGAAAGAATTAGAAAGAAAATTATTAAATTTATTTCACTGAATTTTTCAAAATGCTGATAAATAATTTATTTTTTATCTAGAGAGTTTGAGGTGGAATCCATCAACTTCCCAGGGCAAGTTCACAAATGGCAGTTGAGTCAGCTTCTTCAAAAAGGCACAGAACGAAGTCATGACTCCCTACTTGGTGATCTTGCTTTGGCCCTGCGCTTCCTGATTGTGACCGCACGTGGACGACTTTTTTCTCACTTCTTTAGTGTTTTGGAGTCTCTCCGGGCACTTTTAACAGGACTGCTCAAGCTTCTAGGTAGGTTCTTACAGTTAATTCTGATAATCCCATCTTGTATGATTCCTGATGGTGAGCTTTCATCAAAGTAAATCATATTTCTATTTCATGTTATTATTAAAATAATTCAAATAATCTAGATACATACTCTCTGTTTTTCAATTAATTACAAGTTGATTTGTATTGAATATGCTTTTTCTTGATAGATATTGTCATCGGTGTGCCTTCTCTACAAGCTCATAATCTTGAAGTGAAAATCCGTGAAGAACGATGTCGATATCTTGTTGCAGAACTTGTATGTCGTGTGAGTATTAAGGATACTAATAGATTTACTTTGAGCTTAATAATTCAATAATCAGTTTTATTTCAAAAAATATTTGTTCCTTTAAGTTAATTATAAGAAACAAACTGACAGAATGCTGAGCCACAACTACTAACATGAAATTTAGAATGTAGGTTTCTATAATTTTGTGGGAGAGGATGAAAATGATTTGTGGTGGGGTGGGAGGTGAAAAAAGTTGTTTGTGTGTTTCAATCTGAAACAAATTGGGTGGGTGGGCAGATAAGCAGGCCGGGTGGAGCAGGGAAGGTGTCAGTAAAATAACTTCCATTTGACACTAACAAAAAATTCATTTCTTTCCTCATTCAATATATAATTTTAATTAATAAATCACTGAGAATTTATTTATAGTATACAGAAGCTATTACCATTTTGATATATTTTTCATTTTTTTTAAATCATGTGACAAGAATATTAAATTCATTGTAATGTGATTGAGTGCAATTACAGTGTAACTCAATTTAAAATTGTATAATTATTTTCTGTGCATTTCAGAGTGAATTTGAAGATTCATTGGAACTGTTATGTAGTTTTGTACGGAGACAGTTGCGCCGAGCCACAACTGAGAAGTTTGAAGTGGAGCGAGAGTCTTCACATCCACCTGTGCCAGTACCATATCTGTTCCTAACACCAAAGGTATTATAGATTTTATTGAATATTGACCCATGATAGGCATGTACATGGGAATAGATAAAACTCTAAATATCAATTTTTTTTTATAAGTAGTGTTTCGAAACATTATGATAGATTTCATTTGTTAAATCATTTTTTATTTCTTTGCTCTCCTACTCCTTTGCAAATCAACAAAAGGACACTGTTTTGTTCAGTTGATTGTCAATGATATGATTATTTCAAGATATATGTTTGAAAAGTATGCAATATGCTATGAAATATGTTGTGTATTGTGCTATCATCAAACACATATGTTAAGAAAAGGAAAGAAGAAAAAACTCATGGAAATGCTTACTTAAAAAGTTTTTTGTGTGCTGTGTGAGCCAGTTAGTCCTTCTTTACACACTTTCTTTTGACAAATGCTTCCTGAGTTGTAGTGAACCTGCACATGCCCAGAACAATTTCTAAGACATCAGAGTGGCTTCTGCAAATGCACACGATTGTTAAAAATCTGAACTTGTTCATCAAAAGCATGCATATAAATTGGGGCATAAATGAAGGAAAGTGATAAATTACCAATCTCATCTATAAATTGCAGTAACTTTATTTTGCATTTACCCATTATTTCTACAACGTATTATCTATCCCTTGATTTCTTACTTTTTTTTGTTTTAAATCCATTGAAAGAAAGAAAAAAATATATTTGAAAGTAAATATTGATAGCAATTGAATGCTAATTATTTTAGAACTGATTCTAATATCTGATACTATTTTAGCAGGACTTTGAGTTAGATCTAAGATTATTTAATCGAGACATCATGAGAAGAGCTTTGCCAGTACTTATATCAATATTAGAGAAAGAAACTCGTGGATGGTTTTTGCATTTTCGAGAGAGACTGATATCCGAATTACGTACCCAGAAACTTCCTGATGAAGAAATTGAACGGGTAAGGAAATTAATTGTGTATGGCAATTACCTACTTTGAAGCAATGGTTATATTTATTTTCATTACAAGCTAGTAAATACATTTTGATATTTTTAGGAAGTAAATCAGGCTGTGATGGTGGAATACCTGCAAAGAGTTTATGCAAGTATTCTCACTCATCCAGATATATTGGCTCTTGGTGAAGGCATAGGTCAATTGTTAGTCCAGCAGGCACAATCTGTGGTTCTCATGCACAGGTACTGATCTACTGTTTCATTGTTTGTTAATAGTCTTGTAAGGTAATTAGGAATTCTGTCAATAACATGTTTCCTTTGCAGGGCTGTGGAAAATATGCAGCGGAAATTGGCTAAAATGAAAGAAACACTTAAACAGCGCATTGAATATATGCATCCTGTTTTGTCTCGAATACAACCTTGGATGCGTGATAAACTAAGAAATGCTGAAGTAAGTTTTCGTGTTTGTTGTATGAATCAAAGAATGATGGATAAAATATTTTAGGCTATTAAAAAAATGAAAAAAAACAAAAACAAAAAACAACCAAGTATTATATGTCACAAATAATGACTTTAATTACGTTTTACTTATTAATTTTTGATGCCATAGCATAGAAGTAGTGTTCTCAAATAAATTGAAGAGTAAGAAATAAGATAGAGTTAATGTTGGAACTAATTGATGTTGTTTTGTTTTGATTTAGCTCCTTGATAATAATATTTTTAAAGATGTTTGATCTTTGGTATGAGTACTTGAACATGAAGAGTTTAACATTAAAAAAATAATGTTTTTTTTTCTGTAGGTAAACATGTTGCACACTATTTAATGAACATTTTTGTTTTTTGTTCCATGAACTGCTAGATTTCTATGTTGTTATTGTCCCCAGAATCCTTAGGCTTCCATATGACTTGAACATTCTGTGTAGTTTCTTGTTCTATTACCAACGAAACATAGAAATGCAATGATTTTAATAGTAAGATATGAATATTTCGTTGTTGGTTCAAAGTTTGAATGTTTTCCTTGCAACCTAACTATATTAAAAATGTCTTGCATTGTTTTTCTATGTAATCAGTCATTAACTTTGTGAGTTATTTGTTTTTTCAAGAAACTAGCTATCCCCTTCATTGTTAAGAGAAGATGATAATTACTTGATTTTACATCTTGTCCATTAGCAGAATAGTTCAAACTTTCAATTTGAATAGTTGTTATAGAGTTTTGATGCGATTTGCATATGTACATGCTTGGCTTGTGGAGCTGCAATGAAATGGTTAATAGCTATCTGAACTATTTTCTTTATCAGTGTCTGCAATTTTTTCTAATTCTTACAAGCAAATGTGAAATTGATGCTCCTAATTAGCATCATAATTGTTGTTTACAAAAGTTCCTTTGGGTATGAAACATAATTATCAAAAACTTCAAAATAAATCACACCTTTCTCCTTGCAGTGAGTGCGGGTGAAAATGAGAGATTTCCAACATTTCATTAGTGAAATAACATATATTTCTTCTTCTTACAGAGTGAATTCATTGATGAATGTCAGTGGAGTGCCCATGAAGAAGCCTTGTCTCTGTGTACAAAACAAAATCTTCACCAGACCGTATACTTCTTGAACCGTGATCTTAGTTTCATGCGTGATGTAAGTTCCAAAACACTTTTTTTAGTGTTTTAATCCTTTTAAATAGTGTATCCCTGGATTAAATCTGCGTTGTAAAGACTAACTTTATTGCTTAGAAATGTATGAAAGGAATATGCATATTAAAAAACATTTTTCTTTGATGTCAATCAAATCTAGATTTGAGGTACTATGATTTGCATTTGCTTTTCTGAACACTCCATTCCTCATGATATTTTATGAATTCAATATTCATACACCAAATTTTACGTATGAATACCTTTCCCATACCTCCCTACCTTTGATGACAATACTCCCACCTTTTATCCAATTTCGAGTTATCTTTGAACACCTATAATGAATTACTAGGAAGAGGATTTGTATGCCCTAAACAACTTGAAATATAATTTTTAAAATATGCATATTTTGACTGAAAATTTCTATTAAACTAGAAAAAACTTATAAAGATAATTTTCTGTTTTAAAAAAATATGCGAAAAATTTGGCTATAATTATGGGAATATGTTCCAACTAGAAAATTCAAATATGCACTAACATACTAATCTACATAACATAAAATTGTAATCAAATGTTAAGAAATTTCACTTAGCTATGTCCTGAAGCAATGGGCAAGAATCATAGAAATCCTCTTCTTATTAATTACACTAAAACATTGACTGACCTTGCCAAAAATACATTATTAGAAAAACAAAAATAAGACCACTATACATTAATCGACTTAAGACAACAACCTCTCTGGCTGCCATGAAACACATATAAAGAGCTATAAATAAAGTTAAAATAAATAATAATAATTTACTTTCTGAATAGATTGATATAGACTTCATCATACGATTAAGAACCCTCAGAAAATTTGAAGGCACATTGAAAGCCTGAGGCTAAACAATTCTTGTCAAACATGTCAATCTCTGACTGTCACCGTGCCATCCTGTTATCAGAATCCCCTTTTCATACATTCTTTGATCTTACCAACGGCCATATTAGACTATTCACGATGCACAACTGTTGTTATTTGTCATAACATAACATTCTTAGTATGTTTTACAATAACTGAATTCATTGTGGATCTATGTATAAATTGATTTGAATTACAAATTTATCTGAGGGTGAAACAAAAATTAGTTCTCAAAACACATCCAGTACCTTTAATTTGAAATAATTCAAGTATCCACAGTTATTCATTTTTACATATTGTCTTAAATTTCAAGAACCAACATAAATAATAAAGATAATTATTTTCTACTTATAATACGCATTTTAATTCTGTTGTCAAGGTCATTGTCTAACCCTATGGTAAAACACGTTACAGTAGGCTTCCTTATTAAAACTCTTTAACCAGAACACTACATCATTTAAACTTAACTGCTTTGTAAAAATATTTTTGTTCCATTCTTCCATTGGTTTATTTCTTGTTGTTTCTCTTTCAGAGAGAACCAGTTCTTCTTAAAGAACTTCGGAAAGTGAAAACACCTACTCGGAGTTTCCAATGGCTTACACAGATTTGGTTTCCTAGCAATTGGGTAGTGCGCCGTAGTTTTCAGGGACAATCAGAAGTAATTCCTACTGTTCAGAGTGCAACTGCAACATCTATTACCACTCCTCGTTCTGATCCGAGTCAGGTACAGTTGCAGAAGGCTCAGACCATTCAAATTAATTATTTCTTCCCTGCGCAGACATTTAATTAAATGTTCTTTGTTTAGCCTGTGTTTCTTGTTGAGAAAGAAGTAATTCGAACTACAACGACACGGTGGCCAATGTGGAGATGGATCAATTATTGTCACCGAACTTGGAGTTGGAGTTGGAATGCTATGTTTTTCTTTGGGGTAAGTTTTATGAGGTTGTGGGAGTTGGGGCTTATCAGACTTGTCAAAGAACTTAGAATTTATTGTTTTTGCCTGTTGTTAAATTCTTTTTGTCTTGATTACGTATTTCTACTGGTCAATTTTTATAGTATTTTTTGTACAGAGATGTGAAGTTAGACTTGTAATTATAATTCTACTTTTTTACTTATATCAACAGGCTTTCGCCTTTTACAACATAAGTTCACTTGAGTTTGTGCATTCAAAACTGTTCCAGTATATCAGTAAAGCTGTTACAATACATGATTTTTTTTACTTGTAAAGAAGTACATGGTGTTTTATGTTTCTAGTACACATATATAAATTTCCTACTAAATCATAGTACATTATGTATTTATTATGTAATCTAGTGTTATATGGAATTGTTGAATTATACAGGAAGTATATCTTATAATTACTACATTCACATAATAACATTAATTTCTTAATTTATAAACATTACCTTATGGCTCAAATATGATGAACAATTCATTTCACCAGTAAGTATTTTATAATTCAATTAAAAATTCTGATATTTTTGCTCAGATTGTAATGTTAATATATTTTTTTAGATTTTTTTAAAAAGAAATAATTAATATTGAAAAACTACAATATTGTTGATAGACATTTTTTTGTTACTGAATCCTACCGAATACCATCTTTTAACCGTAAGTAAAAACCATATAAACCAGAAATACCAAATCTTGGAGAATGTCTACTCATGTGCATTTCTCAGCTACAATTCATTTCTTTAAATTGTTCTTAATGGATGGTAAACTGATAAAACCTTAATGGATGCCTGCTTTTCATTTCTTTGTTTGGTTGCATTCAACTGAAATAAGAGAGCAGAATTGTGAAAAAAAAGTAAGTGAAAGAAATATGCAAAATGAAAATGTTCATTGTATCAGTGTGAATGCAAGCAAATCGAAAGAAAAATTAAAGATGATGAAAGGCAATGCACACCATTTAACACTGTATTACCTGTGCCGTATAACATGTATTACCTCTGTAGTCATAAATTCAGAGAAATGAAAGTTTTCTATCCGATGCTGTGATCCTAAAGAAATTTCAACTCTTCAACTATAATAGATGGTATTTTTGTGTTGGTGAACATTCATATGGTGGAGCAAACCATCATAATTTACACTGCAGTATAAAATTATTGGATTCTTTTTATGTGATCCGTGACTTTTTCTGATTACATTATTGTTGTAGGTGGTGATTCCTTGGTGCAGTCCTGTTGGTATCAGAGCACTATTTTGTATGGAACCTTTTATGCCTGATTTGGAACTTTCTCAAGTTAATGGTACTCTCTTCCCTCGCAAATCTTCTCTGACTCCAACTTTATGTTCACGTCTTTTAGCTCTTTGGAGGCACATATCAAAATCACGTACACACTTTGAAACCAAACCGGATACAGGTCAGTTAAAACAGCAATAATGTATTGGAATTTGCAGACAATAGAAAACTGAATTTATGATTATAATTGGAAGAAGAACTAATCATGAATTTTTCTTGTTTTTAGGTTTTATTGGCAAAGGATTTACAAGGCATGTTAACCGTGTTTGGAATTATTTTATTAAAGGTCTTCTTGGTACTCTAGCTATTGTAGTTGTTTTCCCAATAGTATGCTTGATAGCAAGTCTTGGCAGCTTGATCATCACACTTACAGCTTTCATTTGGTAAGTGGAAGTTTGGGAATGTGTTGTAATAAAAGAGCATTTGTAAGTTTTGTTTTGATTCCTATTCTGATGTAGTGTCCTATCTCCGTGTCTTAAATTGTGCAGTTATGGATATCTACATGATGTGAGTGATTCTTACAAAATTGTCAGGTAGTACATTACTCTTTCATTGATATACAGATAGTGAAAGAGTATCTCGGAGAGATGTTATTATTGTGTTTCAAATTTCAAAAAAACGCTATCTTTATTTGATGAATGATACTACAAACTAAAACATTTTTTTTTTAAATTTTAGGAAATTGTTAATCAAAACCTTTATATGTAAAAGAATCTCAACGGCCAATTATTCATTTCATTTTCTTTTCAAAACATCCTTTTATTTTAGCATGTACTATATGTTTATTTATTGAATTTTACAAAATTAATTCAGACTGTTAATGTTCATTGAGCTATTTTTTGTGTAGGTAATTGGGAGGATCTTTAAATGGCTTCCATTTAATAATATTTATACCATTATTTCAAGATTATGATGTTGGATTTTTTTTTGTTCTGAAAGAAAAATCTCTTTGGCGAAGTATTTAATAAACTTAAAAAATTCAAAAGCAGTGAAAGTGTTTTAAAATACTTTACTATTAAAAATGTACATCTCATATTGTATAATAATTGTGGATAATTTGATTGTTAGTTAAAAAGTATAGTTTAAACATTGTTAAACATATGATTCTGTTTTTTTTTGGTTAATAATATCAAAATGTGGCTGGAAACACTAAAGAAATATTATTACTCATAATTGCTTGGAAATGTCAAATAGGACTACAAAAAAAGGGTGCTTTTGGGAGGGGGTCTTTGTGGAAAAAGACAATTGTGATGAATGCAAAGAAATCATGAACAGTTAATATTCCCAACAAACATTTGCGATATTTTTAATGTTTGATGTATATGATATATATGATATAAAACAATCAATGAATGTTCAGATTCATTAAAAAATGTATCTTTAAAATGTATGAGATGGTCCTGTTTTAATTACTTTCATCTAAGTGTTAAATAACGTTACACCTAATTTTTTAATCCTTTGCGCTCCTAATTCTTGAGGTCCTGCATTCGTGTCAGGTCTTTATTTGAATCCCATTACCATGTTGCTGCAATGTTCACAATGCATTGGTGATTTATTAGTTATGGATCACAGAAGAATAGGTATTTTCATTAACATTGGACATAATTTTTCTTCTTACCACCTCAGTTAAGTCTTATCAATTGTCTTACAAATTGTAATGGCATAACATTAAATATGATACATCTTTGCACTGTTTGCACTTGATGTTCTCTGTTGAGTTGGTGCCTTTTGTGCTTGACATAACTTCTGGAAAGCAAACCGGCAATCAAAATCAAGTTTGGTTAGAACTATGGCTAGTTACGTTGTAGCTATTGAGCTATTATAATGAAATGGATAAGACATCCATTTAGATTACTAATTGATGAACATCAGTTTAAACAATTAGTAACTGAATAAACTGTCTCACAATATGAAATTATTCCCATTGTACAATTTTATATTGTTTACTTCACAGTTATGTGAGGAGTGAAGTAAACAATTGGGGATGAAAAGTTTCTTCCAATTGTTTACTGCAAAGTTGTGTGCAACCTATTGAAAATTTAAACAAATTTGGAACTCGGATAAGAAAGAAAATTACACATCGAGAGTGACTCAATCTCGGAGCAGGAGACCAATTCTGCAGTATAAAGTTACACTCAACATTGGAGCACAAAGGGTTAATTAAGATACTTTTATATAAAATTCTGGATGTCGAGGAGTGGAATTCAAAACAGGATGATCATCTTAAAGGGGAGGGGATGTTTGTAAGTGTTAATGCAATTACAAAGGAGGAAGGAAGGTTTTAAAAAGACTAATCTTGCTATAATAAAGTTGTGAATTTGTTGTAACAAAGATATGTATACTTCTATGGTTTACAAAATCTACAATTCATAAATTAGGTACTATTGTTATTAATAAAACAATGTTCATTTCACCAACATTCTACAGAAAATCCATGCACTATATGTTCACTAGAAATATTTCTGTAAAATTGGTGACTGCAGAAACTTAAGAGATGCTTTAAAAATGGTTTTCTCTTTAGGATGCCTTTGGTCACCCTTGGCCTGCATCTGTTCATGGCCCTTATTTATGATGTTGATAGTCCAGATCCAAGCCGAAACCGGTATCTCATTATTCTTGAAGCAATCACATGGAACATAATTATCCAAGGTTTCTTACAACCTATTCTGGCATTGTTTGTGGCCATTGTTGTTTGCCCCATCATATCTGTTACTGTGCTTACTGGTGAGTGGGGTTCTAGTACATGTGCATGAAATCTACTTTGAAGAAGATATTTGTACTGCATGTGAAGAACCCTTTGAATTGTTTGTAAGATTACTTCTGACTCTCACATTCTTTTTGGCATGCGGTAGAATGTTATGTGTCTCATTTTATGCATTCCAACGGATACTGTGTTTTTGAAGAATGTATATGATCAATTTTGATGTCATTTTAGTTGGTGTTTTTCGATATTGGTTACGACTTGTATGGGATTCAGCAGCATTCCATTTTATTATAAAGAAGAGAGGAAGAATACCAGCAAGTGACAGTTTTGTTGTTAAAAGGATTGCTGGTCCAGGGCTGGTCTCAAATTATTTTTATCAGGTAAATATAGGTGTTCACTTTTATGAATTTTATAGACAGAATTTTGCATATCTTCTCCTGCCTGATGAATGTGGTCAAAATTTTACACCACTTTTCCATTCTTCTTTTTTACTACTTTTTATGTGGCTCATCTCATTGTCTGTTTTGTAGTTATCCTGTATCTTTTTATTGTTATGTTATTGTCCAAATAGAATATTAGTGTATTATTATCTAATATACTTATGTTTTTTTCCTATATAAAATTGTTACTTGAATTTTTTGTTATACACTAGTTTGTTGTGTTGATTAAAATCCATTTACACTGTTATCCAAGTGATGCATTTCATTCTTTCTTATTAAATAGATAAGAGCTGAACAAGCTCTTGCAGCATTTGAAGCAAAAATGGAACTGGATGAATTGCAAGCTTATCAGCATCAAATGGAACAGAAAATTTTACAACCACAAAAAGATTTCAGGTAGAATTTGAACATTTTTATCATTTTTGTTACTTGGTTCATTTTAATATTTAATTTTTATTCTTTTATGTACTTTCCTTCACAGTCAGTTTGTTGAAGCCTGTTTTGGACCATTCTCCGCTCAGTTGTCTAAGACTGGACCGTATCGAGCTTTGGAAAAAGAAGCCCAGGATCTTATTTCTGCTCTTCAAGAAAAATTAGAAAGGAGACGTCGAGATTTGCAAACTGGATTGGGAGTAAATGTGAGGAGCAAGATCAAATTGACAACAGTAGAACTAAAGGTACCTTTTATGTGTTAAAGATACAAACAACAGTACAGAATAATCAGACCTTTACACAATTCTTTATCAATTAATGTTGATTAGTAGTGTTAAAGGTAACATTTTTCTACCAGATAATGATGTCATATCTCAACCAGTCATGTGATTAGAGGCTTACATTTGGGTGTGCTCAGCAAATATTTACTAGTTGCATTTTTTGTATAGAAATAGTGATAATGTAATTGTAAATGTTGGCCCGGAACAAATGTTTACTTTTAATAAACTACAGAGCTACTCCTACTGTAAGCATAATAAAAATACAAAAGTCTCAGAATGAATGTTACAAACTTCAAGTCTAGGGCACATAGAGGAGAGGAGGTGAAGATGATCACTTTCTCATAGTAAACATGAGGTGGGAAATTTCATACAAAGAAGTTACACATGTAACATTTACCCTTGATTGGTAGGTACCCTATTATTCATGGGTGTTTAGCAGGTCATGTTCTGTTATAATGAAAGGGATTTTGGGAATATCAGTACATTTTGCTGAACATGGATATATGATAAATTGCCTCCCCATCAAAGGCAAAATGACATATTTAACTTCTTTAAATGAAATTTCCCACTACAAGTTCATTGGGCAAAAGTATCCATCTTCAAACCCCTCCCTACAGGCCTTTGTAGCCTGTTTGTAACCTTTATTCTGAGAGCCCTTGCTTATACTAAATCTGTTGGGAAGTTCATAGATATAAAGCATCAGAAATCCCAAAATTGAGAAAGTTGATAGATTTTAACACCAAAGGTTTCAAGATATACAGAACAACTTAATTTTAAGTGCACAATGAAAAGCTACACTTCTTATTTTTGCTCTTATGCTGTGTACATTTCTGGAAAACTCTCTTTGTCTTACACTCTATATTTTTTTTGTTTCAGATTGCTTTGCAACAAGCTGCTGTAATGTTGGAAAGGTTTTACCCTGGCCATGTTCTTCAGAGGTTGACAATGCATGAAGAGGATTTTTGGGAAAATAAAGGCTTGTCTGTTAATGATTGGGCAGGTCTGGCAAGTCTCATGTATGCAGATATTTTCAGTTTGGATTTCCTTACACCACTTGATGAAACAGATACGAAGTTTCGGCTGGAGGTGTGTAAAGTAACATTGTTGAAATATAACAGTGAGCAGTGGGGTTTTAATACTAAAAAATTCTGTCAAAAAATTCTTAAAAGTAGCAGAAATAGTATAAGTAGGAAAACCTATTGAGAGGGAAACTATATTTAAAGCAGGATAGAAACTAGTAACTAGATTACATAGTATATGGAATAAAAACTTTTTTGATCATACTTTTAAAAGTACTTGTAAACAAATCATTAAGATTTTAATTGATATTGAAGTCTATCTGTCCTTATATATTGTGTTAAAAGAAACTGTATTGTTTTTGTAAGCATCTTTCACTAATACAGTAAAATTTGTCTCCACCGGAATCAATCGGGACAAAAAATTATTCTGGTTTTGGGAGGTTTCCGTTTTATGCGGGGTTGTGTCCATATATGACATTTATTATATTGATATTTCCATCTGGAAACTAGTAACATGATTTTATTATAATGATAAAGATAAACAAATAATAACATACATGGAAGATATAATCAATCAATGAATATTTAACATAATTATTGTTGACAATTAAGAGGCAAAACTTCACATGTTCACTAAAATAATGATATTTTTTCCAACATTGATCTAGAGTTTTTGCATTTTGGTTTTTTCTCTTGCTAACACCTCTTAAATTGTTTTCTGAAGTTGAAAAATTTTAATATTTAGAGTTCAATGTTTTTATCCAACCATTGTGAAACAGGTTGTGAAACTCCTCAGAACACACCACCTCACTGCCTAGTTGCTGCACCCAGACTTCTCTCAGACTTTCAGTGCACAATATGTTGCAGACCCGAGTACTAGGTCTTTCAGATATGGCCTTGGCCAATCTGAGTCTCTTATCAAGGAGTTAAAATTGTCAATGAGGGGCCAGGAGATGCATTAATACAAGCCAGGCCCATTCACCTTCCCAATGCTCAGAGAGCTAGAAGAGAGAACTATGGCTAGGCCTTCAGAGACAAATGACCCCAAGGTCAAATTCTACAGCTGAAGATTATTTCCTTCACTGTGTGGCTGCCATGTCTGGAACTCGTATCGCATGGACATATTAAAACAAACTTGCAGACAGATATACTAAAACAGGTTTCCATTAAGAGTATCTCGCGTCTCTCTGCCAACTGCATTAAATTCACAGAAATTCCGTTTTATGAAGGTTTTTCCCCCCTGCAGTACATGAAAAACCGTTCTGTTTCAGCGATGGACAGATTCTGTTTTACGCTGTGTAAAATGCCATATAACTCCGTGGGCCGGAGAAATTTTCCAGTGAAGGCAGGTTTCCGGCTTGCACAGGTTCCGGTTTAGTCAGATTTTTCTGTATTACAGCTGCCAATTTTAAGAAAGCATTACATCTAATTACATTGCTGGGCCATTGTTATCCTTTTTATTAAAGTTTGTGTTTGAATTTCAAATCTTACTATCATGTACCATCTCATTAAAATACATACATTGGTCTCACATGATTAGACTTCTGTCAGAAAACTTGAACATCCTCATAAAATGAGTATAGGGCTTATGAATATTGTTTTGGAACTTTTAAAATTAGATTTTGTAATAGAAGTACTTCTTATGAAATTATTCCTAGTTTTTACTGTATTTCTTTACGGAACAAAAGGTGCTTTGCAAATGTAGTAATTACTTGCATAAGAATCTTTATATTTTTCATTAACAACTTTCAATTTTTTTATCCTTAGCCTCACAGTGCTGTTGATTTGTCCCGTTATTCTGAAATGGTACATGCTGCTGAGCTCAGTCAAGCTGGTCCTGACTTACTGGGTGCAGTGTATGCCCCTCGTGGAAATATTCAGGTTCACTCCCCTTATTTGGAAGTGTCTGCGTTCAATCCTCGAAGCAGAGCATCTGCAACTGCAAGGAAACAGGAAAGGCGAGGGTAAGTTTCAAGCATTGCATATCATGTGGAGCTAATTATAAAAAAAAATGCTGATTTTATTTTACTTCAATTTTTAGTTCCTTTTGAAAAGCAAAAGGATTGTAATGTAATTGCAGAGATTCTTAAGTGAATTGTAACATAAAATATTTTACCATCTTGTGGGAAATTATATACTGAAAAAGTTCTCTATTATGAGAGAATCAGTATTCATTTAATTTATTGTATGTATGGAAGAAGTCACTATATGAGTAAAATTAATACAAAGAGCTTTCTTTTTCTTCTTGTGTTTAATTTTATTAAACTTATTGGCTATGTGATATTTCTGTGTAATGATATTGTTTGATTGTAATCAATAAATAGAAATTAATTTATTTTAACATACTCCAAAATGCCCCTATGCCCCTTTTCAATGTTGAAAATCTAGTATTGTTTTCATTTTCAGGGAAACTATTGGAACTATTTCTTTGAGTCGAAGTCAAAAGAGAATTAACTCTTCATCTCATGTCTCCGCTTCAACTTGGCAGCCCTGGAAGCGACATCACCATCCTTACAGTGCTGAAAAGCTTCTTATTCCTCTTCCTGTACCTCATCCAGCTCATATAGCAATCACTATTCATAATCGTGACAGTGATGATCCTATTCCCCTGGATTCTGAACTATGCCAGAATATTTTAAAAGCTGTAGAAGATGCTCATATAAATCAAAGTGGAGTGCACGACACAAATGAAGAGGGTAGTGGTGGAAATGTAGCACGATACCGTGGAGGTGGAGATAGTAGTTTTGATTCTGTTGAATCTCAGAGTTCTGTTTCTGCTGCAGCTCCAGATGGACAAGAGCCTGAAAGGCAGGAAAGTTACAATTGGCATCCGACTGATTGGAATGGTGGTATGACACGCAAGAGGAATAATTCTGGCTCAGTGCGAGTTGATTTAGCATCTCCAGAAGATGTAACTTTAGATACGGACTCTACTCGTGTGATGTTTAGTACATATGGTACAACAGTTTGAATTATCACTCTGTACATGAAAAAGTGGATGAGAGAATGAGAGGTATGAATGAGTGAATGAAATAGTCAAAAAGGTTGATTCAGCAAAGTTGTGAATTGGTTTTACAAGAACCAATATGTGAAGCAAACGGTTTTATGCTTTCTGCAGATAACTTGTATAAAAGTTTTTAGTTTGACTTGTGCAAAACAACTTTCCTTGCACAAACTGTAGTATGAATTTATTTTTACATATTTCATTTGAATGACATGACATGACTTTTTTGTTTATTTTTATTTAATTAACTCTATGCTTGTAGCAGTTGTGCATGTTTTTTAAACTACCTTTTTAATGTCATAAGATCTGATCTGAAATCAATACAGAAGTTTTTAACAAAGAACACTAGTCATAACGAGTTAATCTCAGGTAAAAGAAACACATGTTATGAGCAGAATTTTCCTGGTACAGTTACTGAATGTTTCAAGTGAACTTCAAATATGAAATTAACGTTTCTGTATAGTTGACAATTATATCTACCTGTAAGTGGGTTAAATGATATCGAAATTACATACTATTGGCTCGTTGGAAGAAGTTGCGGAGTGCGTTGTGAACAATAATTAAATTATACCCATGTGGATTCACAAGCTTGTGTTTATTAGCAGACTTTATTTACGGTAATACCTTCCTAACATGATTTTCAATCTAAAAATTATTTGAATTTTTTAGTGTTGGTTCTGCTACGATATATATTACAACAAAATGAGCGATATTTTAAAATTTTGTTACCCATTTCTGGTTTCTAAATTAAAACTGTTAAGAGCAATATACAGGATGTTTTAATCTTCAACAGCCAATTCTAAACCATAAAAAGAAAATGTGAATAATTTTGAACAGTTTGTTAGTTTGTTTGATATTGTGTTGATGGCATATAACCCCACTTATTTTTACCAATTGGCAGTAAAAATTCTTGTAATTCAAATATTTAGCATATCACTCTTAATTCCAATGCACCTGTCCGGAACAGGAAACATTTTTTACATAAAAAGTAAACTGTCAAAAAAAAGACAGGCCAAAATCTAACCAGGAATCAACAGCAGGATGATTTTTGTTCTTAAATACATAATTCCAAATGAAGAAAAAATGAAGTTCTGTGTGTAAGTATATGTGAATCTATGGAGGCTTATAATGTAATACATCTATGAAGGTTTATAATAATACAATACTGTTAGTTAATGATTCGAAATATTAATGGCTGGAAAATAAATGTGATCCCCAAAACATCAGAGAAATTATATCATAATAGGTGTAGCACTGGTGGTATCAACGGAACTGTTTTATGAGTAGTAGAAGAAATTTCACAATTACTATGTGGGCTCCCAAGAACTGGATTGGCAATAGTACTTAGAGTCAATGGTACCCAAGTTCACCCTTCTAAATGCTTATGAATTTATAATCTTCAACTGTTATAGATAAGAGGTGGAGCCACTCCAGGCATTTTTAATTTTATTTGGATTTTTGTATTCTCTATGCAACAGGAAAAGAAAATCCTGTAGGAGCCAATCTGACAATGCTACATCGAAATTGACTGACACCCTATTTTGTCATGTACATGATCTAAAAACTGTCCCTATACCCCTTTAATCGGTCTTGAGATTGTGGTCAAGTCAATGAGAGCTTTGGGCAAAAGTATATCCATCGGTGCCGTTGCCTTCATCAATGCCTTGTGCTAACTTCCCAAAATCCGTAAGCATGCATAGCCTAAATTAAGAGGAGTTTCAACCACATTTCTGGACCCCCTAGCAACCCCCTTTACCATTTAACTTTTTACAATTGGTATTTTCTACTGTTAAATAAATCATAATACAACGAGAATGAAATAACTAATGATACAATTAATAAATAATTTTTTTTTTTTTGTTAAACCATTTACAGGGATGCCAAATGGTTTGGAGTCTCATTCTCAAATGCGTATCATCTTTCTTGTCTGCTAATACAAGGGGGGGGGGAGGAATTGGTCATATTTACGGAAATAAAATGTTGTATTATGTAGTGATATGAAGCCCCTTTCGAAATTTTTAGTGGAGGGGTGGGGGACAGGGCAGTCCACCCCCCCCCCCTCCGTGAGCCCGTGAGTATGTTTGTGCATACATCTATTGGTATAAAGAGAATATAATTGGAAGAAAGTGTGGAATATTATTCAGGTTACAATTTGTTTTAATCACATACGCCACAGTTTTAGTAAGTAATGACATCTGGTGAATGCAGTCCTACTGTAGGGAGTCTGTTTGGGCGAAAAATAGAAGGAAAAATAAATAAATAAAGAAAGAAAGAAAAAAATAAATAAAATAAATAAATAAATTAAGAAAGAAAGAAAGAAAGAAATAGAGAAATAAACGCACCAGCGTGTTCTGTACAAAGCGATGAACAAATTTTTCAAAGTAGCTAAGAGATTTGAAATAATTTGTCTGACTGAAATAACTGAAATATCTTGTCTTGCGACTGAAATAACTTGTCTTCTTGAAGAGGGAGCGGGACTAACCCGTGACTATCATAGGGCCGCCTAATAATATTGAACAGAAAACATAATTATAAAAATAAACCACATTCATTTGAAATTTTTAAAAAAATCTTTACTTATTTATGAACTAATATACTATTTTATTTTAAAAAAATAAGGGGCTCTTGTTCTACAGATGCCATAAGCACACGCTTAGTCTGCTTGTTTTAACACACCTCTGAGAAGGAGTATCTTTGGAGACAAAACGCGAACCGAAAAATTATTCATTTCACGCAATATAATTTTATTTAACTTTTCTACTTTCGAAGTTAAAAGATAAGATTCGCGCCTTAATGATATTACCACAATCTACGAGGCGCATCCAGAATGTAGTAAGTTTCCTTAGGTCGTCAACAAAGAGGAACCAATAAAACAATACGTCTACGCGATGTCGCGAGTCGGCAAAGGTGTTCTTCACTACATCGCAGAGGAGCGGTAGGTACCGCGAAAGGCCATGCTAGTCTTTTAGACGCCCAAGGAAACAGGATAAGAAATGGCGGGTGAACACGTGCGAGCGAAACGTCCATTCGCGAACGCTAGCTGCTAAACCCTTCTGCCGATTTTCTCTGGAATTGATGATCTCCAATCGAGATCAGGCTGATGTCGCGGTCCCTTGAATTTGATATCGATATTTTAATTTTGGGGGGTACTTTATGTGAAACTACTGGGACATTTCCAAAAAATGGCTCTAACGTTTTTGATTAACTTTTTTGTTGGATATAGTGTGAAAGACGTTTAAGAGCATGGCTCATGATCGTTGAAAACCATGATTTTTAGAAACTTTGTTCGGAATCTTCCTACAACTAAAATATTAAGGATAGAGATTTTTTCCTTAATGAAACATGTTTCTTAAAGATAGATTTTGAAAAAAGTTCATGAACAATTTTCCGAAAATTTGAGTAATTTTCGCGTAATTTTGCAAGAAAGTATGTGCTGTTTTAGCACCACTAGTTTTTACGTGTTTCATTTGCTTCACATGATTTAATAGAGTTGTTTACTGTATCATTTACCTATTTCCCTGCTAATCTTTTCCCTTCCCACTCTATCAAAATGCCAATTCTTCACACTTTTGTTACTTTCCTGAACTTTCATCTCTCTCGTCGTCTACGTTTCTTGCCTCATTTTTCAAAGCCCCTGACCGCATTAGGGTATTTCAGAGGACTTTAATTTATCGAAAATACTCGTATGTTATTCTTTGAATGGACTCTGAAATAACGTACTGCGTCGTTCTCGTGAGGTGAAATAGTTTGTTTAGTTTCAGGACTGCCAAATAGAGAATATGTGGACTCCACGGATTCTAGTCCAGAGTAACTTGTAATAAAGCTAAGTCTGGTAAAATTTGCACGTTTCGAAATTCGCTTACCTTTTTAAAACTAAGAATTTGAAAGTGGAAAACCTTTGCCGCCATGTTTCACCATGGAGATTAGCCCCGTGCCAAAGGGCATCTCTTCAACTTGCCTAGCCACTCCGCGGGTACGCTTCCGACGCTTTAAAACAGCGATAGGGAAGAGCGGGCTTCATTCAATACGCCTTTCCGACTTTCAGAAGGATGATTTAAATCACAAAAGAAAATTAGATTAAACACGAGTAGACGATGCATTCCGGACTGCACGCTCTTCCCGAGAGCAACCCAATGTAAGAAAGCTTCGAATCGGGAGTACGGTCATCCATTCGGCTCTCATATTCTACATATCACTACACAAACACACGCGAAGAAACAGTTGACCAGCAATTGTCGACTAAACTTTAATTTGCTACAGAGCACTTGAGTGCGGACAGAAAGAGAAGAATCCTTCCAAAAAGTTTCTCTCGCCACCACCGTCGCCAGATTTGGCATTACTATTCGATTTCACATCGAGGAGCACCAGATCTTCCGTGACATCAGATTGCTGCTTCTCAACAGTAAAGTAACCCGCATAGATGACGGAGTAGCAGGCCGGGTATGGCGAGAGGGTGTGAAAACAACTCTTCTGGACTTGCTTACCTGCTCAGCCCAAGTTCATGAGCATGGCCCTCTCCTTGCTGATGACCCTTAGGTGCATGCAGCGACTTGCAGTGTCTTGTGTTAGATTTCAAGAGCAGGCACATTTTAATGTGTCATTGGGAGTTGCATCGAGTCCGCTTGTGCGCCTGTTTTTGAACCACTGTCACTTTGTGTAACTCTTCGAGTGGCCTTTTTACCACTGCGCCTTCTAGCGTCTCGGCGGTGCACTTCTATCCTACAGGGCAAAATATTGTCTTCTAATTTGCTTTTGCGCTTGCGTCTGTCTTCGGGTCTACACAGGACAGTTTCAATAGATTACCCCCAGCCGAGAAATGGGTTCCATTTTCTTTTTCAATAACTGAAATTACTAAGATTGGAAGCACTTTGGTCTTTACATATATCCTATGGGTCTCTCATCTGTTCTAAACTTTTCCAGGAGTCTATTTTCGTCTTCTTTATAGGCTGATACTATCTGCTCCTGGATACCCCGGAAACTTGGCTGTCAGGGATGAGCCGCGTCTCAGTCGATGGAGCTGGCGTTTCGGCCATCATGTGGTGGCCTTTTTCAGAGCTATACTCGCTATACTGCTGCCGAGAGGCTAGCGTGTCTCATTAAAATAGGAGAGGGTGCATGGGCCGATTTCCCGCATCGGCGACCAATAGGAGACGGGCAGGTGACCCGCGATTGGCGGAGAAAGCTAGCGATCCCTCTCCGTGTAGCTCTGAAGAAGGCTCAACATGATGGCCGAAACGTCACCTCCAGCGACTGAGACGCGGCTCATCCCGGACAGACAAGTATCCAATGCCTCCGGCCGCGGAAGCCTACGAATCCATATCACGGAAAGTTTCCATTTACTCCGAAGGGTGGTTTCTGTAGGATTTCGCAAGCTGCAGTATATTGTGCTTATTTGCCTTACGAACCCAAGGCTTCTTCTTCGCTACTCTCCCGTTGTAACGTGCGTCTCGTAGAGCCTTTTGGACAGTTTCTGTTGATACAGTACTACCTGTTGTTGAAATACCCACAGACACCCACATTTCAATGACACGTTGGCGAGGATTCCTACTTATGTTATTGACAATATTTATGTTATCTCTTTCGTCGAGTCTCGGATTTCGGCTTCTGCCTCTTTCATTAATCTGCCATCGTACTTGAATAGGTCTACCATACCTTAAATAGGTGAATGAGGACTTCTCACTGTCATCGAAATACCTTGTAGAGATCGTCTACTCATAGCTAACTTCACAATGTCTTCGTTCTTCTATAATCGTTTCCCGTCTGGGGGCCATTTTAAATTGGATAATGCTCTCCGGAAATCTGACCAACTAATCTGTTTGTTACAACATTGTACCCAAGGAAATATTTCAAGGGGTTCGTTTCAAAGCGCTCTGGTGATGATGGTGACGTTCATTTCTGTGCATCCCATATTTGTAGGTATCACATAAAATATTTAATTTAACACCTAATAAAGCATTTTCTGCTTTCAAAATCACCACTCTTCCCAGGAAACATCAAATACGAAAATTACATATTTTATTTGGAGAATTATTCATATAATATGAATTATTGTATCATTAAAGGTGTACAGTAAAAGTATACGTTAAATTGTGAGAGCCACTGTAGTTCCTACTGACTGTAGTTGGTAATCTTTGATGTAATATTCTTAATTTGGCCTGATCGTTTCAAGATATTCATCAATGTAATACACTGTTCATAACTTTCGTTAATTCATTCGATAATAATTAATTTAACTTGCAATGTATTAATACTCTATTTAATGTAAATGTCCCATTACCCTCTTTTTTCAAAAATCGAAATCGTGGCCTTTCATTCGAGATAATTACTGATACGATAATCATTATTGAACGATGTCAAATGGTCAGCAGGGAAGATTCCATTCAGCTATATTATTTTCATTGTTCTTGGACAATAGAAGAAGTCATAGTTTACTGCTTCATTGTTGAATCCAAGAAAAAGTTAAATTATATTCATGTCCATCAAATTATGGTGCCATGCGTTTCCTTCTAAAACCATGCTAGTCAACATCTTCTAAAGATGGACAATAAAGAAGTAAAATTATGTTGTTTTTAAATATGAGATATTTAAGACTGTGTCCCAGATATTTCCTGTATAGAAAAGTTCAAATGAAAGTGTTCAAGTTCAAGTGACATCAAATGAAAACTAACAAAGTTATCACTGTGTCGCTTGAAGCAGCTATGCCACGAAATGCAACAGGGCTCGAGAGAATCGACCGATCTCTAGTGATATTGAAAAACAGAGGCCTAACAGTTGAATTTCAATGCTGTCCTGAATCTTATTTGCCCGATGGTTGCTTCGGAGTGCATTGTCGTGCTTTCGCCAAGGCAACGTAACCGAACGAGGCGGCAGGGCGCGATGGCGGTTAGTTTGGGGAAACTCGAGGCCGAAGCGATCGCATACAGCGCCATCCATGAAATAACAGGAACAGTTTCGTGAGTATGACGAATCCATTCCAAAAAGAAATTTAAAAGTATGATTCCGTTGCTAGAATTCCGACATTTTGTTCAGAATGAAAAATTCCCATGACTGTAAAAGTTAATATATGAAATAATAACTGCGCTTAACACTGTCATTTGTGTGTTGGAACCAAAGGAACGAAGACGTTACAAGTTCGTTAAAATATTTATGTTCATATCGAAATTTCCGAGACCGCGGTTTGGTCTTAAATTACATTTTCCTAAATATCAATTAAATTTATAGTTTTAATAATACATTTTAATAACTAGAACTGTAAGACTCAACAGATTTCTTTAAATGTGTCACTACGAATAAAATACAAAAAATGAATTTGTACGAACAAGCAAACTGAAACTAAATTCTTTAAATTAATATTGACAAAACTCAACTGGTTTTAAATATTTTCAAATATGGCGGGCTCATTGCCACTATAGATTTCTATTGTTCTACCTCGTTGGGGCAAAG